AACCCTGTCTCTACTAAAAATACAAAAAAAATTTGCCTGGCGTAGTGGTGCACACCTGTAATCCCAGCTACTCAGGAGGCTGAGGCAGGAGAATCGCTCAAACCCAGGAGGTGGAGGTTGCAATGAGCCAAGACTGCACCATTGCACTTCAGCCTGGGAGACAAGAGCGAAACTCCAACCCCAAAAAAAAAAAGAAAGACATGCAATTTTTAAAAACCAAGTATCTTGGCCAGGTGTAGTGTTTCATGCCTGTAATCCCAGAACTTTCGGAGGCCGAGGCGAGTGAATCAACTGAGGTTGGGAGTTCGAGACCAGCCTGACCAACATGGAGAAACCCCGTCTCTACTAAAAATAAAAAAAATGTAGCCTGGCATGGTGGTACATGCCTGTAATCCCAGCTACTCAGGACACCGAGGCAGGAGAATCGCTTGAACCTGGGAGGCAGAGGTTGCAGTGAGCTGAGATCATGACATTGCACTCCAGCCTGGGCAACAAGAGCAAACTCCATCTCAAAGAAAACAAAAAAACAAAAAACACGCATCTCCATTTCTCCATTCCTTTAATATTCTCCAGCATTTATGCCTTTACTTTGTATTATGTAAATTTAGTTCTGACATAACTCATGTTTATTGAGGGCCAACTCCATGCAAAACACTATTCTAAGCACAAATCGATAAGAGTAAAGCTATTTATTCCAATGGAAAGATAATGAGACACTAACTTGGCCAGGTGTGGTAGCTCACACCTGTACTCCCAGCACTTTGGGAGGCTGAGGCAGGTGGATCACTTGAGGTCAGGAGTTTGAGACCAGCGTGACCAACAGGGAGAAACCCCGTCACTACCAAAAATGCAAAACTTAGCTGGGCATGGAGGCATGCACTTGTAATCCCAGCTACTCGGGAGGCTGAAGCAGCAGAATTGCTTGAACCCGGGAGGCAGAGGTTGCAGTGAGCCGAGATCACACCACTGCATTCCAGGCTGGGTGACAGAGTGAGACTGCCTTTAAAAAAAAAAAAAGACCCTGACCTAACATTTCTGAAGTGTAGGGCTTCTGTATGTTCTATATATTCCTTCCCTGCTACTGCCAAGAAATCAGAACAGTATTCTACTTAATAATTCATAAACAAGCCAGACAAGGAATTTAATATGAGAATTACTCATGTAAATAATTAACTTTAAAAACAGAAACAGAACTAAAACCAATCCTTTCCTATTTTCAGACTTCAACTTTATTAAGTTGGGAATCAGCACTATTAAATGCTTGTGTGCATAACCATCACTATATGTTTACATGCAGGATACTTGTGTTTATATAAAAAGTATTTGCATAATGTGAGCTTAACCCTGAACTCCATAATGCCTTCCTCCTCCCACTTCAGGGCTATTGTTAAAACACTCTTTTTTTTCTTTTTTTTTTCCTGAGACGGAGTTTCCCTCTTGTTGCCCAGGCTGGAGTGCAATGGTGCACTAGGCTCACCGCAACCTCTGTCTCCCAGGTTCAGCTGATTCTCCTGCCTCAGCTTCCTGAGTAGCTGGAATTACAGCCACATGCCACCACGCCCAGCTAATTTTTTTATTTTTAGTAGAGACAGGGGTTTCACCATGTTGGCCAGGCTGCTCTCGAACTCCTGACCTCAGGTGATCTGCCTGCCTCCGCCTCTCAAAGTGTTGGGATTACAGGCATGAG